GACCGGCCTGACGTGTGTCCTCTGCCTCTACGGAGGGTGGAGGGGGCGTGGGGGGAGCCAGGGCAAAGGGACGGGGCAAGAAGGAAAGAGGAAGAAGTGGAAAGGGAGTTGGGGGCATGAGAATGCAGGTTTCTGAGGCTTGCACGCCTTCCCAGCACATAGCCAAAGTCGGCTCACCTCCCTATCACACCACCCAGAATCCCCCCTGATGGCTCTGGTCTAAGAAAGCTCCCTCCTCTGGAGTCTCCAGAGCTACCAACCCCTCACCGGCGGGTGCGCAGCGTTGCGTCCGTCTCCACCAGAGCAAGTGCCCCACCGATGGGCTGTGCTGTCACCAGGGCCCACCCCCACCCCAGTGCCTGGTGCAGAGCACCACTGAGTGAGTGACTGCTAACTACTCTTTGACTGGTTCTTTGGCTGAAGCTCTTAACATAGTCTCTCCCCACCCCCCCCCCCCCCCGCTTGCTCTCCCCTTTCCACCCTACCACTGGGCAAGGCCATCCCTAAGTGAGAGTCACAAAGCTCAGCATCCTCGGGAGCCTGTTTACACAGAGTACCACACACACACACACACACACACACACACACACACACACTGACTCAGTGTCTAAAGAGCTCATGCGCATTGCTTCATGGAAAAGCTCTGGATTGGCTTCTAGCTTCTGAGAGAGCCAGAGAATTCTCATCTACTGGAATGGTGTTAACACTTTTCACATCCACAAAGCCCTCCTCCGTCCCAGCGGCAGCCTTGGTGGGCTTGGAAGTGAGGGGCACTCGGCTCCTTTCATTCCCCACCTCCTGGTGGAGCCCTCACCGGGATTCAAGTTTGATTGGAGCTGTTCTAGCAACTTCTGCCTCTGCCCTTGGGAGCTACGCGTGTCTATTTTAAATAAACCGCCCCCCTCTTTCTTCACTCCTTTTTACAAAGAACAGCTGCAAATCTCCTCTAAGGACAGCTTTCTTTGGGGTGGAATTCAGTCCTGACAGCCAGACGTTCATGAGACAGGCCCCGGGGCGGATCATGATTGCATGAATCAGCTGTGGGTTGGCTCTTGCCCAACACCTGGGGTGTCATCTCTGCATCCTGCGGTGCTTTTGGCTGCAGTGTCCCAAAACTTGGTTGCTCTTTTAAGAAAACTATGAGCCTCAGGGGTGGGAAAGGAAGACGGAGAAGAGGGCTGGGTGCAGCGGGAGAGGGCGAGTGTGCTCTAACGCCGTCTTCACAGCTGCCCAGAGCTCCGCCGCTTGCTTTATTTAATTTTTTAATATATTTTTATTTATTTCAGAGAGGAAGGGAGAGGGAGAGAGAGACAGAAACATCAATGATGAGAGAGACTCATCAATAGGCTGCCTGCTGCATGCCTCCTACTGGGATCAAGCCCACAACCCAGATACGTGCCCTGACCAGGAATCGAACCATGACTTCCGGGTTCATAGGTTGAAGCTCAAACACTGACCATGCTGGCCGGGTCCTGTTCCTTGTTTTAGATGTGGGTAAGCATAGCCAAGGTTTGCCACTACCCACACTGCTCTCTCCCAATGCGTCTTGCCCACATCTTGGGTCCCCAGGTATGAACACAGCTGTGCCTCTGGCTTACCCTACCATCCCAACTGAGCTTGGAGGAGCTGGCCAATGGCGCCCACGAGAGACCAGAGGAGCTGGCCAATGGCGCCCACGAGAGACCAGAGGAGCTGGCCAATGGCGCCCACGAGAGACCAGAGGAGCTGGCCAATGGCGCCCACGAGAGACCAGAGGAGCTGGCCAATGACACACACGAGAGACCACAGGGTCCAGGCCTGAGGAGCATGCTCACTGTGGTGGCGGATGGGTCTCTGCTCAGCCGGACACCGATGAAGGGGCTGGAGCCGGGCATGGCCCCTGAGCACCAGACCTGAGCAGCAAAGGCCCCTAGACTCCTAGCGAACTCCTCCTCCTCCAGCGCCCCAAGCTCAACCAGACCCCCGAGCCACCCAGCCCAGCCCCGGCCAGAGGAAACAGAATCCCCCTTCTTTCCGCCTTCGCCTCCAGAGAGGGCTGGTGCACAGGAGGTCTGGGTGACCACCACTGTTGTCAGCGGCAGAGGCTCGCTGCTCCCATTAGCAGCTGCGGGCAGCCCCCCAAATCCAGACGCCATCAGCCCAGCAATGTGGGGGAGGTGCCTCGATGCAATGGGAGAGAAAGGGTTTGGCCAGCTGGCTCCCCTACCCAGCCCTGCCCTGGACGGGGCTGACCTCTGAACCACTTTGCTCCCAGCCTCACGGCGTAAAACCTAGATCAAGACTTCTCTGCTTCTTCCCACAAAAGCAGACTTCCCTCGGCCGCAGACTTCCCAGGGGCTTACCAAAGCCCCAGCCGCCGTCCTCGCTCCTCCTGTCCCGGGATCAGGGAGCTGGGAGCTGCCTGCCCTGAAGCTGAGGAGAGAGGAGAGGCTCTGGCGTGGGAGGGGCCCGCTTCCTCTATAATGAATGTGTCGCTTTGGAAGCCATCTGCTTTCTCTCCGCTCTCATCTATCATCTCCATCGAACACAAAAGCAAACATTTAAAATGCAGGAAAAGGAGCCCGCGTGCCACAGAAGGAGCAGAAAAACAAGTCCTGCTGAAGGCCCGCCGCGGACCCAGCTCCGCGCCCGCCGCGCCGTCCCTGGAGAGAGAGCCATGCAGCCTCCGGCGTTTTATAGCAGCGGCTGTGTGACAAGCCCCATAAATAGAAAGGGAACCCAGGAGCGAGTAGGTGACGGGGACGTTTCTGGGCGTCTGTCAACCACCGGGAAAGCACTGACCGGGCGTCGGCAGGAGAGCTGCCGAGAAACTCAGCCGCGTCCCCCGTCCCGCGCTCTGTCCACAGTCCGCGAGGCGAGCAAAAAGGAAGCACTTTACCGGATTGTTCGGGGTCCAGGCGTGGCGAGCACGGGCGGACGCCACAGGAGGTGGGAGAGCAGGAATGTCACTCCGAGCAGCAGGTGTGACACAGACAGCAGCTCCGCTCCTTGGATGAGCTCTGGAGGACTCCCACATGCCCTGCTCCGGGGCCAGGGCCGGGGGGCTCGGCAGTGTCTGCTGAACCCCACTTCTCAACAAGCCACTTGTGCGCTCTGAAAACAGACCCAGAGCCAAAGGAGACGAATAAAAATACCCCTCAGGTCCCCAGCGCCGTGTCCCCCGGGCCAGGGCATGCTGCCTGAAACACCTCAAGACTTGGCTTGCCCCCAGTTTCAGATGCTGTCACCAGTGTTTCTGTTCCTGAGCCCAGCCCCGGCCCCAGCTCTGAGGGGGACATCGGGGACCCCAAACCTGAGCAGAACACAGCCCTCCCCCCCGCCCCGCTGCCTGCGTTCCGCCAGCAAAGCTCGTTCCATTCTTACCCGCCCTCTGGCAGTAAGCCTTTCCCTTCTCCTTCCACCTGGAGCTACGGAGCCCCCAGCCTTCCTTGACTCTCGTCTTGGCCTGCTGCTTGATCAGGGCCTGGCCCCCATCTGCACTCCTCCTGGTGCAGACTGGGCCCTCCAAGCCTAAGGACTTGCAAGAACAACAGTGTTTGTTCCGCTGCTCAGCTCAGACGCATCGGCTCAGGCACCTTGCCCGGATGGCTCAGGGAAGAGGGCAGGTTTGCAGAATTTGTACCAGGCCGTGCGCTCACGCAGCAAACACTCAGCAGCAAAAAGCAAGGCCGATCCTGAAGTCAGACTCTGAGTTGAAATAATGGCCCTGCGTGGTAAGAGCTGTGTGACCGTAGGCCAGTCCTTTCACCTCAGCTTTCCCACCTGTAAAATGGGACAATAGCCACCCCTGGCCTCGTAGGGGAGTGAGATTTTTAAAGCTGGTGTCTGTCACGTCTGCCTGTCATTTTCACTTCTGGGGCACCACCGCACACTGTCCAGTCAGAGGCAGCACTTTGTCAATAAGTCCACGTCACAAACATTTCCAGCTCTGTGGGCTGGAATCGAACTCCTCCGAGACAGTTTTGCCCCAGTGGGCGGGAGTTCTGACCTGCGTTGGTGGGCACAGCGACCGGCCTTGCTGACCCGGGAGGGGTGAGAGGTGGTCTGGCCGGGCTGGAAGCTCACAAACCTTTGCCCCTTTCAGAGGGGAAAGCCAGGGCAGACAGACGGGCTGAGGCAGAGGTTCCTGGACAAGCCGCTCACCTGCATGTTTGGTTCCTGAGGGACCCACACACAGACCCCAGAGTGACTCTTTAACCCACACGGTCCTGTGACACCCCACACTGCCATCCTCTGCAGCTGGTGCGGCCACTCCCTCCCTCTGCCCACCTGGCCACGTCCAGCCCCGACCCTTGTACAAAGAGACCCGTGGTGCAGTCATAGAGGAGCGAATCAATTGTGCCTCGGTGTCCTTATCTGTACACTGGGCTCTGAGTTTAATGAGCTCTCACACGGCCGCACTCCCCGAGCAGCAGCCTGTCCCACTGCAGAGTGCCCTCGCCTCTCCTCCTCGGCCTGTGAGTTCCCGTTGGAATCACACTGACCACACATGTCCTGGGGGTGACTCCCATCCAGCTAGACGGTAACCCTCCTGCCCGACGCCGTGGTGACCGGCTCCCGAGCCTCTGGCGCTCGGGCTGGTCTGGACTGTCCTTTTCCTTCCATTCGAGGACTGAAACGCCGCCGCCCACACTAGCCCTTTCTCCGAGCGGGGCTTCAGGGAAGGCTCCACAGAGGGTTGGTCAGCAGGGCTGGCCTGGTGGCCTCGCTGGGAGGGACCGCAGAGAAAGGCTTCCGTAGAACGACCCTCAGCGGGCGCAGAGGCCCGCGGGCGCAGGACAGTGCCGTCTGGCGGGGCTGCCCTCCCCAGACCTTGGCCGCGGCCCGCGGAGGAGGCCTCCGGGAAAGCCCCAGCCCCAGCCAGGAGTGGCGGCCGCCGCTGTTTCCACGAGCTCCGAGAATCCAGGCTCCCCACCCAGCACCCCAAAGGTGTGGCCAAAGGTCCGTGCTCTCCAAGGGGAGGCTGGGGGTATATAAAGGCCGGTCAGGCCAGACGGACACAGAGGACAAGCAGTCACTCCGCCAGGCCCACGCTGACCACGCTCAGGCCGTGAGTAGCCATGGAAGGGGGTGGGGGGAGCCCAGGGGAGCCCCGACAGCTCCTGTGTCCCTCTCCACCTTCCCTACTTAGCTGGGTCCCACTGAGCGCCCCGAGTGCTCTCGGGGGGGCAGGTTAAAGGCGCGCAGGTAAGGAGAAGCAGAGCTGCCCTGAGCATGGGGGCCGGAGGGGGCAGGTGGGTGCAATTCCTGGCAGCAGAGGCTGTTTGGGGTCAGTGGTGCCATCGACTGCAGCCAGAAAGCCAGCCAGAGCTCAGCAGGGCCCAGGGCCCACGTGGCATGGAAGCAGCGTTGCCCGGGACGTTCAGGGGAAAGGTGGGTCCCCAGGGCTCCCAGCCTGGCCTCCTCTGGAGGTCCGGAGGGCGGGAGGGGAGGGCGGGAGGCGGTGCACCCGCCCCTCCGGTGCTGGGATGGGAAGTCAGCCCTCGGGCAGCGGAGAGCTCAGAGCTCGCTCCCTGCGGAGAGTGTAGGGGGCATGCCCATGTCCGCTGCCCGCTGGATCAAGAAAATGAGCAGCGATTGGATTCTGTCTTTTTATTTCAAGTTTTCATGGATTAATGCCAACACAGAAAGGGGGGGCGGGGGGGGGGGGTTTGGAGCGTCTCCCAGGAGGAAATGGACGGGCATCACATGGCACAGGCGTCTCCTCTGGGAGGGGCCGGGAAGGATAGGAGCGAGGGAGGAGCCGAGATTCAGGGCTCCCACCCCCACCGGCCTCTGTCCCCGCAGGTCCTGCAAGAGGGGGGTCTTCAGAGGCTGGGCCTCCGCGCCCTCGCCCTCAGGAACCTGTCGGCACCTGGCCTGGAGGCTTCGGTGTCTGGGTGCCGGGGTGTTCTTGATCGTGGAGTTTTAACAGGACGAGGAGAGAGAGTAGGAGGGGCACCAGGGTAGCAAGAAGCGGAGGGAGTGTCCGCGGGCCACAGGGGCCTCAGGATGGAGAGAGAGGTCCTGGCAGAGGGGCCGGACACAGCCTGGGCAGGTTCTCTCCAGGAAAGAGACAGGGCGGGACCCGGGAGGAGTGAGAGGCGGCTCAGGCAGGGCTCTCCTGTACAGCAGACCACCCTCCCCCACCCCACCCCCTGCTTATTAGCTGAAACCCCTTCCTGCCTGGGAGCCGGCAGCCCACCCAGCGTAGGAAGGCTGGTGCCAGCAGTCCAGTAGGCAGCAGGCCCCTTGAGGCCCCTCCCTGCCTTCTGTGGCAGAGGCAACATGCGGGGTGTGTGTGTGTGTGTGTGTGTGTGTGTGTGTGTGTGTAACTGGGGAACACACCCGCCTCAGAAGGCCAGGCTCCAGCCCCACTGCCCCTGAATAGTTCTTCCACCCCCTTCCCCCCCCCGCGTCCCCTCCCTCCTCAGAACACACCTGCTCCCAGTGGGCGTGAGGATCACGTGGCAGGGGCTAGGAAGGAATCACCCAGGCTGGCACCCAGCAGACCACACCCTCCTCCCCGGGGCCCTCCCTCCCGGCCCTGCCCCCACCCAGCGGCTGAACCCTGTCTCAGACTCTGTGCTCCTGGTCACCACGCCCACTGCTCCCTGCCAGGTCTCTGCAGCCCACCCTCCTGCCCGCACCCCAGACAAAGCCACTTCCTGAGACATGAGAGGGGACCCAGGCCTCCCCTGCACACATGGACGCCAAAGTGTGGGGTGGCCGCTTGCAGGGGGGGTGCCCCTATTGTTTAACAGGCAGCTGGTCCTCGGAGCCGCGGGGCTGGTTCCACCCCAGCTCCTGGCGCTGCCTCCACTGGGCAGAGAGCTCAGTGCTTTTCCCTCTAGCCCCGGAGCAGAGCTGGGCATCTGGGCCTGGGCCCATCCTGCCAACATCCCCATCGGCTCAGGGACAGGACGGGCTCCCCAGGTCTGGGGCATGGCTCTGCTGGTATCCAGGGGGTTTTCTCTGAGACACGGGGTCCCTCCCACCGGGAGCCTCTGGGACCCCAGCAGGCTCACCTGTAACAAGGAGAAGGGCCCAGGGGGTGATTCTGCCCTGGTGCATGGTGGGGGCCAGGAGGCCTCCCGGTGTGTGGTCAGCTCTCGGGGCTCTGGGGCAGAGAGGGCCTGAGCTCACCTGGCCAAGCCCCACGCCAGGCCACGCCACAGATGCTGGGCAGGGGCTCAGGGTCACACAGCCCAGGCAGGGCCCAGACCAGGGCTCCAGGGCCAATGCAGCCCCCATCTCTGTCTCAGCAGCGGCAGCAGCTCCAGGATGGTGTCCCACAAGGCCCTGGCGGCCCTGCTGCTGGTTCACGTTGCCGCTCTGCTGGCCTCCCAGACGGAAGCTTTCGTTCCCATCTTCACCTACAGCGAGTTCCAGAAGATGCAGGTAAGGGCCCGCGGCCCACTGCCAGTGCCCACCACCAGTGCCCACCGCCCACTGCCCACAGCCAGTGCCCACTGCCCACTGCCCACCGCCAGTGCCCACTGTCCAGTGCCCACTGCCTGTGGCCCCGGTGACACAGCCCTGCTCGCACTGAAGAGGTGTTAGGTCTAGAGTCAACCTGCATTTGACCAGCTCTGCCAGGGACACTGGACGGCATGGGGGTGGGCCAGGCTCCAGCGCCGCCCTGGCCTCACTCCTCTAGGCCACTCGGTGCGGGGGACTCTCCCCACCCGGCCACCCACCCTTCCGAGGAACCTCCAGTTGCCACGTCAGGGCACATCGCTGAGCATGTGGGCGAGAGGCCCACGCACAGGGGCATACAGGGAAGTCCAAGACTCCGCCTTCAAGAGCCGGCCTGGGAGCCCAGACACACCCGTGGGGACTCACTCGCCTGCTAACTGCCCGGTCGCTGCCCGTCCTAAGTGCTGACTGGGAGGGGAGGCACTGCGCTGGCACCTGGGAAGCCCTGGGGAGGTGAGACTGAGCTGGGAGAGCAGGAAGGAAGCCCGGGGGGCAAACGTCCGGCAGCGGCCCAGCCTCCTTCTCTGCAGAGCCCAGGCGGACACCAGCCGCAGGACAGCTGGGCCGCAGGACTGCCTCACAGGGACTTTATTTATTTTTAGATATATTTTAATTAATTTCAGAGAGGAAGGAAGAGGGAGAGTGAGAAGCACCAATGATGAGAGAGAATCATTGATCGGCTGCCTCGTGCACGCCCCACACTGCAAGCTGGGCATGTGCCCTGACCTCCTGGGTCATAGGTCGACGCTCAACCAGAGCCAAGCCGGCAGGGCCTGGTGACTTACTTTAGACACAGGGGTTCTGAATGCCGTGCAACACTAATTTCTCTCCACCCGAGGAGATGAAGAAATGAAACTGGCACGTCCCACCCATCTGAGGCCAGGCTCCGCGAGGGACAAACACCCCAGTCAGTTCTCTGTTCCCTCGGAGGTCAGCTTCTGTATCTGCACCCTCGTCCCGAGCAGGCATCCACATCCCCTGAGCAGCGGCCCTTCAGAGCCACGGCTGGACCCAGACCCCTCCTCCCGGGACACACCTCCCTCATCCCCGTTCCCTCTCCAGAAAAGACCACCGCGGTTCCAGAACTGCTGGAGAGGGCAAGCCCGAGCTGAACCCCAGGAGTGCCGTTAAGAAGCCAGAGTGGGGTCTGGTCTGCACTGAGTGACCAGATTATTATGATCTCTGAATGCAGAAAAATCTGGCCACTCAGTGTGTGTATGTAAATATATATATTTTAGAGGCCCGGTGCATGAATTTGTGCATGGGTGGGATCCGACCAGCCTGGCCAGGGGGAGGGGATGTGGGCAGTTGGCTGAAATGCTTGCTGATCGAACTCCTGGTGGACGGGACAATTTACATATTAGCCTCTTATTATATAGGATATTCACTGAGTGGCCAGATTATTATGGGTCCAGAGATCATCATCATCATCTGGCCACTCAGGGTAAGTGCTCGGGCCTGGCCAGCAGGGTGCCAGGTGAGGTGGTGGCTGGGCAGAAAGGGTCAAGCTCAGTAGAACATAAACTAGCAAAACGGCAACCACAGGACACTGCATGAGCCTGGGCTGCGGTCTTTCTCCCTGCAGTTGCCCAGCTTTGAGGTGTGTATGGAGAAGCTGCAGCTCCCTTCTCCATAATTCATCTCCCTGTCTCGCCTCTTATAAATCCCCTCCCCGGACTCCAGCTCCCAGCCCTCTGGCGCCCTACAGGCGAGGCTGTCTTGCCATCTCTTTTATAGGTTCTCTGCTAAGAAAAACACATTTTCACACTTAATATGCATGAAGGACAGCCATTATTTTCAGCTTTTTAACTTAATTAACAGTAACAATCTGGGTGCAATGTTTGAACTTCAAAGGACCAGATTCCTCTGCAAGTTGACTTGTTGGTGGGCAACTCGAGGGCCAGTCTTGGGCCCCTGGTGTCTGCGACTCGTGCAGGAGGCACGGAGAAGGGGGCTTGTGGCCTGAGGGGAGCTGGGGCCATTTGGCACCCTGGGCGGAAGCAGGCGAGGGCCATCTGGGCAAGGAGAGGGAGGGCGGGCTTTGTGCCATGCTGTGCTCTGTCCCTAGGAAAAGGAGCGGAACAGGGAGCAAAAGAAATCACTGGGCGAACAGCAGAGGCCTGAAGAGGTGGGTCCTCTGGACCCCGCGGAGCTCACGGAGGAGGAAGACAGCCAAGTTATCAAGGTGAGCGGATCGGCGGCCGGGCAGTGCAGAGACACCTGGCGGGGTTCCCCTGGCCAGCCACTGAAGGCGCCGGGCTCAGCATGAGCCCCATCCTGGGGGCAGGCAGGCGCGGGCCAACATGGGGCAGTGCCCCATTTCAGGCACCGAGTAGAGTGGCAGAGAGTGGGAGCGGAGTTTGGACCGGCAGTCAGGGGAGGCCTCTCAGAGGGGGTGGCATTCCCTTTGCAGCCTGGATGGTGAGGAGCCTCCGTAAGAGCTAGAGCAAGGGCTTCCCAGCCGAAGGAACAGGGAGGGGGCGGCCATGCACACCTGGCGGGTGTGAGTCCTGGAGCAGGTGCCCCGAGAGGCGTCAGGGCCGCAGAGCCTGCTGGGCCAGGCCACTGGTATCCCAAGCCGGGACTTGGCCGGACCTGACTCTGGGCAGCACAAAGGAAGGCAGGAGACTGCCAGGGGGAGCTGCAGCCTCAGGCAGGAGAGAGATGATCCGTAGATGGCTCCTGTGAAGATCTGGCCCAGGACCTTCAGCACTAAGTTAGGATGCCCAGACCGTCCCGCCAGTGAGCCTGGACTGTGTCCAGCACAACTGTGGTTTCACGCTCATGTATTCCGGCCATGAAACTGCCGAGCCCTCTGTGTGCGTGAGCTGTTCTGGGCCCTAGAGATAGAGAGGTAAGCAAAAGGGACACGTCGGCTGCCCTCCTGGTGCCCTCACTCCAATGAGGGGCCAGAAACAGATGCCAGGACGGGCAACATTCCTCGAGGAGGATAAGAAGCCTGTGCAGCATGGCAGGGAGCGACAAGTGCTACAGAGAAACAAAGCAGAGGGGCTGGCTGCCATTTTCAATGGGGCGATCAGAGCAGGCTTCATGATTGGGTGGTATTAGTGCACAGACTTGAAGAGAATGAGGGAGCGAACCAAAGTATTGTTTGGGGGAAGAGATTCCAGGAAGAAGGAAGAGCCATGCAAAGGCCCTGGGGCAGCAGTGGTGCATCGGGGAACAGCGAGGAGGCCGGCGTGGCTGCTGCAGCGGGGGCAGAGGAGGCAGTGGGAGATGAGGCGGAAGTGGACGTCATGGGCCATTGTTTGGACTTGGCCTTCACCCTGCAGACTGGGAGCCCTGGGGCCTTTGAGCAGAGGAGGGATGTGATGTACGCTGAGAGCGGGCTAACGGGGCAAAGGCGGAACGAGGGAGACCACTGAGGAGGCCGCAGAACCCGAGAGAGAGGCTCAGCCCGGGTGGTGGTGGTGGAGGCAGAGCAAAGGGTCAGACTCTGGAAATATTTGGGAGGTAGAAGCCCGTGGGACTTGCTGAAAGAACGGATATGGGATGCGGAAAGGGGAAAAGATAAAACGCTCTTTGGCTGGGATACCCGAAGGATGGAGTTGCCACCCTGAGACGTGAAGCCTGTGGTTGGCTGCAGGGGGACAAGAGGAAGCCGGGTCAGAGGGACTGTAAACTGTGAGACGCTGCGGGCATCCGGGTGGGGACATGCAGGCAGGTGGGTAAGTAAGCCGCCCCTCAGGAGTGGCCGGGCTGCAGACCCCACGTGGGAGGACCCAGCGATGAGATGGAATTCAGGCCAGGACAGGGCGAGGCTTGACCAGGCGCGGGCAGCTGCAGGAGAGGCCCCAGGACTGAGCGGGAGGCACTTCCCTGGGAGGCGCCTGGGAGGGTGGAGACAAATGAGGGCCTTGCCAAGGTCACCCAGGGTCAGGGTAGAACAAGCTGGACTCCATGCCTCCCGCCTCCCCCTGGACACTGGCCGTGACCTTTCCGCCCCGTTGGGTCGCCACAGAATGCTGCCCCAAACAGTGAGGTCCAGAGGCTGTGGCCCCCATATGGGGCTCCTGGGCTCTGAGGAGGGAACGGGAGCGAGTCCTTCCGTTGGCGAAGGGGGCTGGCTCGGAGCTGCCCTCTTCGGAGCACCGGGGGCAGATCAGGGCGCCCACTGAGGTTTCCACAGCACGTGCTACATCCGATGGAACATCCGGACGGCTCTGGGTGGGCGGGACACCTCCCGTCCCTGTCCATCTCCCTGGAACCCTGATAGGCTGGCCAGGGACCTATGCATCGTCCGGCCCAGCCTCCCCACGTCACAGGAGGAAACTGAGCTAGGGGGCGGCATAGGCCGGGCTGGACCCTGAGCCCCACACAGGCCGCCCAAGGGGGCCCTTCAGCATCGGAGCCCATTCCCAGCCCGAGGGAGCCGGTGGGAGGTGCGGAGCTGGTTTGGCAGCAAGACCACTGGACCAGGAAGCTCTGGGGGTGGCAGCGAGATGAGTCTGCCACAACCACCTCCAGACGGGCCCTTAGGGGCTCGCCATGTCCCCACAGCACCAGGCAGCAGCGCCTGGAGGGCACTGACGCTGACCCTGGAGACAGGCCCGCGGGGTCACCATTTTATTCCTCGACACTTCGTACCTGTGTGTCCTCAAGCAAGTTATTCAACCTCTTTGTCCTCAGTTTCCTCATCTGCACAATGGGGGCACTAATAGTCTCTTCATCATAGTGTCACTGAGAGGCTTAGTAATAATATTCTGGAGGACTTAGGGTGGCATATCCTCAGGAGAGGGGGGAGAAGAGTGTCCCCCCCATGGAAAGCCAGGGGGGTCCTGCCAGCCCCCCCTCCTGTGCCAGCTTCTCAGGAGGAGGGTGATCCTCCTCCCAGAAGGTCAGAGGGACTTCCGGGATCCAGCCCCCAGGTTAGACCTCGGGTGGGGAGGTTTGGGGGGGCAGAGTTCCCAGCAGGCTCAGAAGCCCAGGGGACCCCAGAGGATGGGCAGGGTGGGGCCGAGTGGCGGGGCTCCCGCAGGGCACCAGGGGTCCTCAGCACTCCCCCTCTCCCTCTCCGCCTCTCCCTCCGTTAACTCTGCCTATTTCACAGCTCACTGCTCCCGTGGAAATTGGAATGAGGATGAACTCCAGGCAGCTGGGAGAGTACCCACAGTGGAAGGGCTGCTGCCCGCCCAGAGCGGTAAGGACGGCGTCACTGGCACCGCAGTTGGGCCCGCCTCTGCCCACCCACGTTAGCGTTCCAGGAGCGAGCGGTCTGAGCAGGGTTTGAGAACAGCGATTGCTTTGCCTGTTTGCACACCAGAACGAGCTGTTTTCTCCCACCATCTCTCCTGTTGTGGAGCAGGCGGCTTGATGGCTGCGGCACTCAGGAGCCCAGTCCCAGCCAGGGCACCTCCAGGCCCTCCCTCCGTGGCTCAGGCCCGTGTCCCTACACCTTCCTGGTGACAACCCACCAGCCCTCCCCAGCTTCAAACCCCACTGAGCCACTGGTTACCCTTAAGAAAGCAGAGCAGCCTGGCCCCGAGCCGGCACTGCTTCCTCGTTCTGCAAATCGCAGTCCTGAGCCCCACTTGGCCTGGCCCAGCTCAGGTCGCCCGAGTTACTAGGGCGGAGCTAGGTCTCCAATTCCTTCTCACTGTCCCCGGGAGAGGGGAGGGCAGCGAGGGACTGGGAGGCTAAATGACTTGCCACAGGCTACAGAGACAGAGCGGGTAGAGGTGGGGCTGGCAGAGCTGGCCAAACCTAGGGGGAGGTTGGGGAGCTTTAGAAGGTGGTTTCATAAGCTCCTAGGGGACCTGCTGCCACTACTCAGCTGCAAACCTTTATTTCTCCAGCAGCGGAGTGCCCGCCGCGCTGCTCCCGGGAGAGCTGGCCGCTGAGTGCCTCCACGGAGGTCGGCGTGGCCAGTGGCCGGGTTTGGAAGGCACCGGCTCCCCAGCAAATCCTCTGCAGTAAATAAAGCATGAAACATACAGAAACGACTCTTTTATTTAATACTAGAGGCTGGTCACAAAATCTGTGCGGGGAGAGTGGAGGTGGGGGGAAGAGCCTCAATGGGGCCTGCACCCTCTCCAATCTGGGACCCCGTGGGGGATGTCTGACTGACGGTTTAGGCCCGATCCCGGCAGTTGGACATCCCTCTCACAATCTGGAATCACTGATTCGTAACTACTCATCTGCCTGATCACCTCTCACCCCTCTATCTGCCTGCCTGCCTGATTGCCCCTAACCACTCTGCTGGCCTGATCACTTCTAACTGCCTCTGCCTCAGCCCTGCACCCAGAACCCAGGATTCTCTCCTCCAGCTGGCCGCAGGCACCTGAGACCTGGGCCAGCTTCACCTGGGCCGGCCGCAGCCGCAGGTGCCGGGACCGTGGGACAGGCAGCTTTTCCCTCTCCTGGGCCACATCCGTAGGCGCTGCTGTCCAGGGCTGCAGGGTGGGCGGCTTCCCCCTCTCCTGGGCTGCAGCTACAGCTGCTGGCGCCCAGGACTGTGAGCGGGTGGCTTCGCCTGGGCCCGGCTTTGTCAGGAAGGACGTCCGGATGGTCATCCAGAAGGTCCTGTCTAATTGGCATATTGCCCTTTTATAAGTTTAGTTCTTAATTTCCAAAGGTCAACTCAGGTCATGCCATAGGGGGGGAATGAAGTTCTGAGGGAGATGCATACCTTAGCAAATCATGGAACTTTCCTAGGTCCTATGTTCAATTATTAACTTAGGCCACAGAATTGGAAGATTTGCCCTGGCCCTTCCATGACAGGTGGGGAAACTGAGGCCCAGCGAGATGGTGTTGTGTCCACACACCGAGTCTGGGGCTGAGCGAGGCCTGGAGTCAGGCTCCTGGATCCTGACCATTAGACCTGGGCCAGCGAGCTTGAAGGCCTCTGCACTCAGCCCCTGGCCGAGGGACCTCCAGCTGGTCTCTCAACCCAGTGAACCTTTGCAAAAGCAAGTGGCAGTAGCGGCAGCTGGGAGAGAAAGACGCCACGTGATGAGCTGGTTATCAGAAATAGGACGGAGCAAAGGGGAGGCCGGACATCACAAGCACGGCCACCTGAGCAGCTTCACAGGAAGCTGCAACTTCGCACCCCAGGGCCCCAGGCTTGGGCCGCAGATCGCTGGGGAAGGGGCCCACCCACGGGAGAGGGACACACGCACGGCGAGGTCGGGATGACGGGAGGGTGCCCGCCGTCAGACCTGGCACGGAGCTGACAGGGCAGGGCCAGCGTGGGAACACACATCCCAGACAACGGCGTGGCTCTCTGGTTCCTCTGGCTGTGCTCCTGCCCGTGTTCCCTCCTTAGCCACGTGGCCCTGTGGACCCCACGCAATGGTCTGATGAGCTGCAGTGGGGACCCAGCCTGGTGACTGTGCCCCCACGTGGGGCACGAGCTCTGGGCGACACTTAACTCCGGCCCCACCGAAGCCACAGCTTCACCTCTCGGTGGCGGAACAGGGAAGTGGCCCTCGGAGACTCGGGTGTAATTCCACAGAAACAGGCTTTCTACAGCACCTCCCACGCCCTCAGCAATGGGAGGCGCAGGGAGCGCTCCCCGCTGGTAACAAAGGAGGAACCTGCAAAGCCGCACTGGGAGGAACTGAGTCCAAGACCCCTGCCCCTCCGAGGGCCCTGCCAGCTGGCAGCCTACGTAAAGCACAAGCAGCAGGAAACCACCAAAACTGGTTTGGCTCAGTGGATAGGGCGTCGGCCTGCGGTCTAAGAGGTCCCGGGCATGATCCCCAGTGGGGCATGTGCAGGAGGCAGCTGATCAATGTTTCTCTCTCATCAATGTTTCTAACTCTCTATCCCTCTCCCTTCCTCTCTGTGAAAAATCAATAAGATATATTTAAAAGAAGGAGGAGAAGAAGGGGGAGGAGGAGGAGGAGAAAGAAGAGGAGGAGGAGGAGGAGGAGGAGGAGGAGGAGGAGGAGGAGGAGGAGGAGGAGGAAGAGGAGGAGAAGGAGGAGAGGGAGAAGGAGGAGGAGGGGGAGAATAAAGAGGAGGAGGAGGTAACCAAGTGCTCACTATCTTCCCACAGGGAAAACAGGTTTGGCGGGGTTCCTCCCAGCTGCTCAGGCTGCCCCTGCAGTGGGCCTCATCCCCCTCACCACCAGGGGTGCTGTCATCCTGGGGTACAGAGCAGCCTTGGAATAGGTGCCAGGAGAGAGCTGACCCCCAGGAGAGTTTGCCCAGGGAGTCTGCCTCCATCTGTATGGGAGTGTGGGAACGGGTCAGCAGGCCCAGACCTGGGAGTGCGAGGGCAAGGGGGCTGCCCGCTCTGTGGGCCTGCCCTGCACACAGCCCAGGAGCAGCCCGTCTCCCTACCCTGTCCCCCAACCCTCTCCCGTGGCCCCCAAGGGCGCTGGGTAGGAGCTGCGCAGGGAGCTGCCACCCTGGCAGGCCTCTGTACGCGCTGTGCCGAGGGCCGGTGGGTGCGCGGCTCCTGTCTTCTCCCCTCCTCCTCCCCCCACACTGTTCGTGTTCTCACCATCAGGTCAATAACCTTTCCTTCCAGCTCCTCCCGTTTCTGGGACAGCAGAGCCAGGGCTTCAGGGATTAAAGTTGGGGGAGGCTGGGGAGGCTCCTGTGTGCTGAGCCCAGAGGAAATGCCAAAAGGGAAGCCGCCCCGCCCCGCTGCCTCACTCCCGGGTGAGAGCTCCGGGTGCCTGGGCCCCGGTGGCACTGGGTCAGGTGGGGAGGCCCGAGGAGGGTGGCCCGCTGCCCTTCCTCACGCTCCTGAGCCCCGACACACACACACACACACACACACACACACACACACACACACACACAATGGCAGGCTCGCTCCAGTCCTGGAGAGCCACAGGTGGCCGTCTTCCAGGGCAGTGGGCTGTGCACGTGGCAGGACCACGGGGGATTGTGGGGACCCTGTCGGCTGCACAGGGAGGAGGCACGTCGCCGCAAGCACATCCATGTGACCTATAACCCCTGAGCCACGTGGACTCGCCGTGAAATTGGGCGTTAAGAGCAGAGAGGACCTGCCTGGGGTCTGTACTCTGTCGTCCAGCACAATCTAATCGTGGGCAAAGTCCCAAAGACACTGTTTGGAAAGCGGTACATTTTCCTTCCCACACCCTCCGCTCCTGACCCGGGTGCACCCCACGCCTGGTCAGGAATGCGCCCCACAGGCAGCGAAGTGCACTGGGCCGGAGAGTGAGAGTTCTGTTCCGTTGTCACCTGGAAAGCAGGTGACAAAACTGCCCGTTAAACCCATCCAGCGTGTCTGACTGCCGGTCACTGACCTAGAGAGCTGGAGAGGGCCCTTCCCTCCCACACGCACTGAGGCAGCGCGATGCAGGGCAGCGCGGCCATCCCAGTGCAAATGGGAGCCCCAATGGCACCCCAGGCCCCTCCTGCTCAGCCGCTCTCCCAGTGCCCGATGACGCCTCCGCGCGGAGGCCTGAAGGAAGCCCGGAAGAGCCGAGGGACGCATGAGCCAGCGACCAGGTGGATCAGGGACAAGTCCCTGGTCCCCGAGCATCTTTAAGGACCTGATAAATGCATGCAGGGCTGGGCAGGAGGAGGAGGAGGGCCGAACCCACTAAGATTTATGGCTGCTATTCTCACTGGCTGGGCTGCAGCAGAGGGAGGGGGGGTGAAAGGGGGAGGGGAGGACCTGGGAACACAGAGACCTCCCAGCAGCCCCTGCCGCCGCTCACTGTGTGGCTGTGGGTACGAGCAGATTTAGACACTGGGGCATGTTTGTCCTCTTTGGTCTTTAATAGGAGGACGGACTGCAGCCCGAGCTGCTCACCTTAAAAAAAATCACAGCAAAGCGATGAGGACTGCACAGGGCAGCTGTTACTTAGCAATATCATCCTTTCCTTTAAAATATGCTGCCCAGCCCAGTGCAGTGGCTCAGTGGTTAAGCATCGACCCATAAATCAGAAGACCACGGTTTGATTCCCGGTCAGGGCACATACCCAGGTTTCGGGCTCGATCCCGTGTGGGGAGGGCAGGAGGCAGCTGATCAATGATTCTTTCTCATTACTGATGATTCTTTCTCTCTCTCTCCCACTTCCTCTCTGAAATCAATAAAAACCTATTATAAAACAAAACAAATAAAATAAAATATGGCTGCCCGTGCTGGACCGGCCCAGCTGAGGAGGCACAGTGAAGACAGGAAGGCCCCGGGCAGCGTGGCCCTGGCAGGGACAAGGGCTCAGGGAAGGCGTGGGGCCAGCCGTGTGGAGGCGCGTGCACAGCAGCCAGCTGGCTTCACTAATGCAGGGGCAGAGCAGCAGGTGACGGAGGGCCAGAGGGGTGAGTAACCCGGGAGGGGTGAGTAACCCAGGAGGGGTGAGTAACCCGGGAGGGGTGAGTAACCCGGAA